TGAAAATGTACTGGCAGGTCATACTGTAACAAATACAAAACAGGAGCATTACGTACAAATAAATAATCTCTATAAACAGATATCTGCACTCTCGATAACAGCCCATAGAATTTACCCAATAAAACTGAGGTAACAATTTGCACTCACTTTGTTTGGGTAGATTTCACCACGTTTACCAGCTATGACACTCTAAAAGAAATTGGGTAAAGTCTACACAACTATACTATTACTACTGTTACTGTTACTATTAATATTAACTAATATACTAGTGAGTAATATTAACTCTTGATTGTTAGAAGGCCATTGTTAATTTACCTAATTATCAATAGTAATTCAATTAGCTTATTAACCATTACTTATCCAGGGAATTTTAGCTTTATTTGAAAAATGTTAGTCACAGGAGACAATACTGATTGTGATTTTAAATGCTCAAAAAATAAAGAAAGTACAAAAGGACCTTGTTTTTGAAACAATTGAATTGAATTGAATTGAATTTTTTTATTTTTTTTTGTATAGCCAATTCATATAATAATATGATTTATCTCAGGGCACTTATTAAAGAGCAGGTCTATACCATTTTCCTTATAAAGTTATTCACAGAGACCCAACAGTTCCCATCATGAGCAAGCACTTGGCGACAGGGGCAAGGAAAGCCCCCCGGCAGTCAAGGCCTATAGCAGCATAACTAAGGGATGGTTCAGAACACAGCACTCTTTTGGTCATGCCAATATGAATGCAGAATCTCTGCGCTACCATTGTAGTCCAAATAGTATTGACCAATCACATTTGAGCACGCTTTGGTGGCATGCAGGTAAACGGTCCATGTGAAAAGCAAAAGAGGCTGAAATGCAATCTCAGAACACGTCGGCTGTCAACTGACGATGAGTTAGCTTTTTAAAAGTGTATCTGCATTCATATTCAGATATCTGTTTATAGAGCTTAGCCAAAATGTAATGTAATGAAACTCCATTCTGATTGCTAATTGGAGTGTAAATGATGACACAAGTCTTGGCCCAAACTTCCACTAGAAGCCCCGAAACATTGGCCATTACCCAAATTATTTGTCCAAAATAGGACTGACAAATAACTGATTTACTAGGCAACCTATACTAATGTGATATATGTAAATTAAAGCATTTATGTGGTTCAAAGTGAATATATTTCCACTTTCCCCTTTTACACTTTGTCTAAAAGCAAATAAAAATAATCCTCAAGAAACTATTAACAGAAAAATAAAACAGATTGGAATGTCTGTTTTGTCTTATCCAGTGACTTATATACACAACAGACCTAGATACAACAATCCAGTAAATCAAATATCGCCTTAAAGCACTTCTACTCACTGATTTGCAACTGTGGCCACAATTACCTTATTTAATTAGCCTTACCAGATATATTAAGGGAAAACGCTATCTTGGTGTAAAAGGTATGGAGAAATCTCTGAGGGTTGACAAATTTCTATCAAATAATCCAGCTCTATCTTAATACTTAGTAAGTTCAGTATCCACGCCCCTGGTTAGTAGTGCAGACTTTCGGTGTTTCTTGTGTATTTTCTCTGATTTGTCTTTAATGTTCTCCCTACAAAGCTGCAGAAGAAATTATACAGCCTAAGTAGTACTTACAGTGACTAGAAAATTGGCAATGACATTTAAAATCATGCCACTCTTTAATGTCTGGGCGGATTTTGCAGTAGTCTGCAAGCTAACAGAAAACAATAGCAAAATGGAGGGGTTTTGTATGTTAGCTGATTTTCCTTTTGATGAAATTACAAAGGCACTTTTGGACAGCGAGCAGTTCCTACCGCTGCCACCTTTATGTCTAATGTGAATATGCCAAGGCAGTAGCATGGAGAGAGGTGACTGTTTCATGCTGCTGAGTTGATAATGGCTCAACTTTTTTTGGTTTTCCACCATAGTTCACCAGGTCATCAGGCTTGTTGTCCATCTTTATATATGTTGATGCTCCGCCCCTCATCTCATACTCATGTGTATAACAGTGTATGAGGAGAGATTAGTTATTGAGATCTAGAAATATCCTGAGTCATATGACCCACAATCCTGTTGTTATAAAGACATTGGCATAAAAGACATTCATTGCCTAGCGAGCCACAGATCTGGAGATTGGCTCTCCAGGCGAGTTTACATAGAGTGTCCACACATGATTTAAGCTAATGTCATTTTATTAGTTTGGTGCCATCCGTTTTAGTATGATAGCAATAGCAATAATAGTAGTCATAATAATAGTAGTAATAGTTGCAGTGCAACGCTTCCTATCTGTGCTAGTAGTGGCGCTTGACTCACGTCATATGTCGTGCTGTGTAGCAATGCGTTTTAGACTTTAGAATGTTGCATTAGCAACCCATCAGCTAAGACGCATACAGTAATACACATATACAACATGTATAGTGGCTAGCATCGTTAATGGTAAGCTGATCTTAGAAAAACTCTACTAAATTAAAGCTGCAAGCAGCATTGAACGGGACCTCGCGTCCGGCGCGTGTCGGGGGTGTGCTGCGGCCGCCTCACGTGCTGTCGGGGTGTGCTGCGGCCACGTCACGTGCCGGCGTAACCACAACATGAACATTTCACGTA